ACAAACCCTACTTAATGCAAGGAGATGCTAATTTATTTTATGAGTAATCATAATTTCATTGTGAATCCTATAGTAATTGGTAGTAACACAACTGAGAGCCATGACATATAAGTTACTAGGCGTTTATGTAAGTAATGACCTGAAATGGAACCATCATGTAGAAGTTATAGTGCAAAAGGGAAACAGGAGGCTTTATTCTTTAAGGGTCCTTAAGCAATGTGGTGCACTTCCAGCTTCACTGGCTAAGGTTTATACAACCATTGTTCGTCCTGTTCTAGAATATGCTGCCCTTGTCTGGCAAAATATACCAGATTTTCTATCTTATTATTATTCAGAAAAGGGCTATGCGCATCATTTTTCCTTTAATGAATTACGAGGCATTAAATGCCCTTGATTTAACAACTCTAAGGGACAGACGCGCCCATCTATGCCAGGTTTATATTGATAGACTCCAGGATGAGAATCACCCCTTGCATTTTACGCTCCCCAAACAGGAGGAGGCTGTGCATAATTATAATCTTAGATCTGGCATTAGCCACTCCACGCGTCCTACCTGTAGGACCAAGCGCACGCAAGAGTTTGTCACGCATAAGTATACCTAGTGGCTTGTACAATTATATTTTCTAGTATTTATTGGATTTATTGTATTATATTTTAGTACTATATGTTTTGTAAATAGCTCTGTAATTCAGCCATTCTGTATATTGCTGCAATGAGTCTTAATAAACAGTCATTATTACTAATTATTATTAATGCCAAAGGACTTGGTAACAGTTATTTTCTACATCCTGCCGTTGGATATATTTTGCGATTTAAGACGGGTTTAAGGGAAACCACGCTTTTCTTTATTACCCGAGACCTCAAAATTCCCCTAGACAACAATGATAGTCGAAGCAAGGAGAGACAAAGCTCACTGTACCTTCCAATTGGTCCATTCTTTACGTGTTATTTATACCTTCCAACTAAAAAAATAAACATTTTTTTTCCTGGCCAAGACTGCGAAAAATATTTACTGGCGCGACCAACAAATACCCCAAATCTTGCCCACCAAAAACTTGGTGGGCACTAAGCCTCTATTATTATTAGATTATGTTTGTCCTGTATCATACAGTCAAACCCCTCTTTACGGACACCAGCTTAATGTGGACTCCCTGTTATTATGGGAAGTTTCCTTGGTCACTGGGGAAAACTCTTAATTTTTCTCTTTATTCAACCCACTTAATACAGACTGACCTGTTAAAGTGGATAATGGACGTTTTTTTCTTCCTCAATGAACAAATTCTCATATAAAGTCAACCTCGCTAACCCGCAATTTTTATAGTCCATTGTATGCTGTAGTCAACCTCTTTTTTTGTAGGGTAAAAAAATCTTTCACTTAATTGACGTCATGTCCATGTTCCCAGCATCATAGTTCACCAAAATGAATGAATTGTGCACAACAATAATAGACCATTTTGGCATCAATCGAGTTGGTAAATTTTACATAATTTTTGATAGATTTTCTCGAGACTTCTGTGTGTTTTCATGGATACAGTCTGCAGAATAAGAGCTCAGTGATGTTTAAATATGTTAGGTGTGATGCTGTAGTATTTCGATAAAACAGTGTATTTTTGACTTTTATAACAGGACCTGCTTGATATGGACACCTCCGTTATATAGACACTTCCTATGGCCCCTTCAGTGTCCATATCAATGGGGCTTGACTGTAATTATGAAATATGGAACAGTTTTGTAAGATCGATCATTTGGTGTCCTGTTTAAAGTGTATTTTCAGCCATTCTTCACATTTTCCACCTTGCATGTCACAACCTAAGGCAAAGTAGAGTAACAAATAAATAATGAATTCAAAAATTATATGAGCAATCGAAAATACAGGCATTTTTTATGTACCTCAATCTGTGTACATTTATTTCGTTGAAATGAAAGGGTTATCCAGGGATGACCAATGCTCTTATTATATTGTCAGCATTGACATTTTAATTCAGTAATCGAAAATTTTATAAGTGGGAAATTGGTTTGCACTGTTGAATACTGTCTCATGACAGTGATTAATCAACCATCATCATTTCAGTCAAGATTTTTGTATTCAAAGCTATCGTATTGCCTCCTACAATGTGGGCTCGCTAGGGGCTATTCTTGTTGTTTTCACTTTTCTGAACTCGTGACAAGGCAGTCTTTTAACTGCGCAACTGACTTTTGCATTTTTAAAACCACAGCACAATGTGAAACTGCTTTGCACTACACCAAACAGACCACTATCAACAAGCAAATTTTATGTAGATTTCAAAAAATTTTTTTCCAACGGTCCAAAAGATGACACTCACCTTCTTTTTTTCGATGTTTTGCTCCTTGTCGGGCATTTCTTTGAGCTGAAAAACTCTCGTGTTCGATCGTTTTACCTCCCAAGAACGCACAAACGTTCATCGGACGGCATTTTTTCTTCACACCCCTGATTTCTCATTGTCTAAAGTCACAGCTCTCAAAGTAGTATAGGGAAAGGACACTTCTAGGCGCAGCAAAGAGCCAGGAAGTGACCTTCCCTCGTGTTTCTCGGCGTGGGCGCCATTTTGCAAATGTAGGTGACGTCATCATATATCTAGATCTGGTTGTGGCCCGGACTATAAAAGACATTTATAAGAAATAAGATAACATCTATAGGTGGAGGGACCATAAAGGCAACGCTCGAATTATAATTATAGAGAAGAGGGCACTTACTTAAAAAAATATATCCTTAAGGTCTAAAATTCAAACGATACGTGTACTGTGACATAGGCCATTTTAAGACGAGTAGGTGGGATATGATATGATCGTACGGGTGTAGTAATATTAACAACAACAATTTTAAGACATTTTTGATACTAATTATCATCATCATCGTCATCATCAAAACAAGACAAAACAACGTTTCAGGTGGAAGAGATGAGTGTAATGAAATTAGAAATTTTCCAGGTCTGTTCAATCCTGTCGCATCCACACGGAAAATAGATAGGGGTTGTTCTTTCCAAACTTACACAACATCGATATCGAAACAAGAAAGTGTATGTGGTGTGTTCATCTGCGCTTGGTCGATATGTAAATGCCTATGTTGAATATTAACATCTCTTCCTTGTCCTCACTGGCAACCCCTGCAGTCCGCTTCCCCCTCTCTTATGGCGTATTATGTTGCGAAATTAATTATTCTTACATATTCTAATTCTTCAAGGACTGGTGCCATTAAAATAAAACGCTAAAAAAGTGCCTATTCAGGTGACAGCTTTTCCTGTTCTTCTTCCGTTTTAAAGCGGCCTTTTGTACGATTTTACCTATTGCTAAATTAACTTAAATTAACTGCTGACATTATATGGGTTTCGAATAAATTAAGTCTCCTGTGTTGAAAAACACTATATTTTTTCAGATGATATATTTTAGTTTTTTTTATTAGCTGACATCATCTAGTGCGGGCCTTTTAAAAAACTCAAAAAGGTGTGAGATCACGGCATAATACTACAAGAGTGCATTATATAGGGGTCTCGTTCCGAACATATTTAGCTATATTTGGTGGGAAGTATGCCATTCATCATAAAAGGAGATTGATTAAGCATATAATTCAAGGAAAGCCCACGGGTAGGGTATATACACCTTTACACGAGTTGTTGACTTTCAAGAAACAGAACAAATATGTGTAGGTGTGCAAGATGATTGTTACAAAAGCAACGGTTGCCTAGACAACTGTAAAATATCCTACTAAGCACTTTCCAACTTTTTTTTTTTGGTTTCGTGCTTATTTGAACACAATAAACTATTTATTTAACAATCACTGCTTTGTCTTTGATGTTGGTGCATAAACATAGTTCCATTATGTTCTCTGTGTACTTTTATCTTTAAGCTAGAAATTGTGAGGATCTGAAGAAATGCGAAGTTTTGGCAGCATGCAGTGAGTAGGACGGGACGCCAAACGATATTGCGATTATATATTAAAACACCTTAAGCTGTCTAAAATTTTGCCGGAAAAATTATGACAGTCTCGTACCATATATAGAAAAGCTCTATCGGCAATAACAGCTGAGACATAACAAATACAGAAAAATAAAAAAAAAAATAAATAAAAAAAAATTAAAAAAAAACTGCAAAACAGTAATGGATGCATCAGGTTCTTTCCGCTTTTTTGATTTCGAAGTAACAACTGCCTTCCATTCCTTGGCCCTAAAGCATTTGCTGAAAGTCTAGACTAGGGCTTGGTGCTTAATTGACTCGAATGTAAAGATAAACCAGTGTCAGCTTAAAAGGTCTCCATATTACTCTTCTGTACATCGACTGTAAAGCACATCCCAGTAGTATATAATCGCATTTGGGCGAACAAAATGAGGGGACAACGGGGGACAACGGGGATAACGATGTCATCGTTATCACCAAGCGAGCGAATTTCCAAAACCTAACTAAATTTCCAAAACCTAACTAAATTTCCAAAACCTAACTAAATTTCCAAACCTAACTAAATTTCCAAAACCTAACTAAATTTCCAAACCTAACTAAATTTCCAAAACCTAACTAAATTTCCAAACCTAACTAAATTTCCAAACCAGACTAATTTTCCGAACCTGACTAATGTTCTTAACCCTAGCCAAACGAATGTTGAGGGCTAAATCAGTCGAGTTTAATGTTGGGGGCTAAATCCGTCGAGTTTAATGTTGAGGGCTAAATCCGTCGAGTTTAATGTTGAGGGCTAAATCCGTCGAGTTTAATGTTGAGGGCTAAATCCGTCGAGTTTAATGTTAAGGGCTAAAATCTTACCCTAACTCTAAATTCTTACCTTAACTCTAAAATCTTACCCTAACTCAAAATAAAATAAAATACTAACCTTAAAGTTCACCAGGTCACGGTTGAGTGATTACGGGCAAGTTTGGGCAAGTCTGATGACGTGTTTCTATTTTAGATCATCCCATTGTCTGGGGGTATAAAAGGGGTAACAAGTAAGCTAAGTCATTTGATTACGATACGTTGTACTGATCACAGCTATCACCATGCCGATTACTTATCCACGACCGTGTCCAACCTGTAATAAGAAGTTCAAGAACCGATTTACCTTTTGTCGTCACAAGAAATATTGCGGGACCGATGTTAAAGTACCATGTCTACATTGTGATAAGATGTTTTCAAGAAAAGACAAAATGGTAGCTCATGTCAAAAAATTCCATTCGGAAGCAGCCAAGCGGAAGGCGGAAGAAAGTGCTGAACTAACAAGGATGGAGCTTTTACATGCAAACAAAGTACCACGATTGAGTGATGAGCAGCAGACAGGTGGTGCTGTGAGTACACGAGGTACCAAACGTGTAGCTGATGACGACAGTCCTGATGTGAAGGTTGCAAAGATGGATCCACAGAGCAGTGATGCCAAGGCTGATTATGAAAAGCCTTTGTTTCAAGCCAACATCGCAAAAATGGGAACACCTAAAAAATGGAAAAAAGGTAAAGTAATAGGCCAAAAATTTACCTTTACTTTGGATTACTTACGCGACCCAAAACCCGAGGAAGATTTGGGGGTAGAAGCCGTTCATGCATTGACGACAGGAATGGATAATTTAATGGATGACATGGACATTGATCCAAGTCAATACGAGCTTGCGCTTCAAATAGGAAGCAAGGAACATTTTAAAGAATCCAGCAATACCGGTGAAACATGGCATATTCCAGCAGATGATTACTTTAATCGACTTCAAATGACACAAGCCGTGCTGGGACATATTGCGAATGTCTTGAATTCAGGGGAATTTATTTCGTCGGATAGAGGTTTTTCGGTGTCCATGACTCTAATACGCCGTGCTGTGAAAGGAGGGAAAAGATCTGGTTACAAACCGGGTGAACGGATTTGGCAAGAAGTGGTCAAAGAAATGCGTTGTGTGCATGAAGTAAAAAACAATAATGACGAGTTGTGTTGCGGCAGGGCCATCGTAGTGATGCGCGAGTATGCGAAACGTCAAGCGGGTGAGCCAAATTGTTACGAAAATGTACGCCAAAACAGAGGCAAGAATACCCAGCAATTAAAACTGGCCAGACAGCTATACAAAGAAGCAGGCGTGCCAGAGGGGCCATGCGGGCTCGAGGAAATTGAGAAATTTCAGAACTACTTGGGACCGAAAGGATTTCAGCTGATTGTCGTCGACCCTGTACGGGGTGGTGTCATATTTACTGGAGAGGTGTTCAAGACAGCCCCGAAGGTGATACAGATTGTGAAAACCTATTATGAGGATAAGTACGGAGAACCCAAAGCACATTACGATGGATTGTACAGTGTAGCACCTATCATGAACCGCAGTAAATTTTGTCGCTATTGTTGCAAAGGATATGATCACGAAGACGCAAAGCACCATAATTGTTTAAGGGCCAACTGCCCCAGTTGTATGCGTCGAAGAAATAAAAAATCGAAAGGGTGTCATGACTACACTGGCTGGAGTAAACCGACAATCTCGTGTAAAGTATGCAAGAGACAGTTCTATGGGGAAGATTGCTACAATGCACATTTGGTTCCAACGAAACAAGAAGAAACCAAAATGGAAGCAGATTTGATAGAACAAGTAGCGAGAGAAAACGATATTGTGATTCCACGTAAAAAAGTTATGAAAAGTGTGTGTGAGATGCATCGCAAATGTAACATTTGTATGGTAACTTACAAAGTGAAAGAAGGAGTGTCACATAAATGTGGCCACGGTCAATGTACCAATTGCCTGAATTATGTGGATCTGTATAGCCACCAATGTTTCATCGTGAGTGACAAATACAGAGCAAATAAATGGAGAGACATTGAGTTTAAGAAAGAGCAACGTTGTCTCGAAGCCATCAAGCAAATGACTACTATAGACGGTAAAAAAGTTCAGGAGGTAGCGACAAGACCTATTTACCTTTAAAGACTTCGAAGAATACATGATGAAGAAACAACAACAACAAGACCAAGAACTGCAGGAACAAGTAGGACCCACTTGAGAAGAATCCATCGAGGCAGTGAAGAAAAAAATTACAAGACTTGGGTGTAGATGTGGAAGAAATAGCAGATGATAAATTAGAGACTTTCTACTTGGATCATTATGTGTTGACGGAAGGCAAGAAAGAAAAACACAAAAAGTTGGTGTTTGCAGACATTGAATGTTGTATTGATGACAACAGGAAATTTACTCCGAACCTAATCTGCTTTGAACGAGAAACCTCAGACGAAAAATACCACTGTTGGGGTAGAATGTGTATTCGTTTGTTTCTTGAACAACTGACAAAGTGGGTAAAAGAAGAAGAAAAAATGAAAGGACCCAATACAGCGGAACTACAGGTGTACTTTCATAACTTTAGGGGATTTGATGGGGTATTCATCATCAAGCAGTTGTATGACATGAATCTCAAGGTGTCTAAAGTGTTGATGACGGGACAAAAGATTTTGTACTTTGAATGTGGACATCTCAAATTCAAGGATTCCATGTCCTTTCTCAATATGCCCTTAGAGAATTTCACCAAGACCTTTGGCTTGACAGAGTTGAAAAAGGGGTACTTTCCTCACAAGTTCAATGAAGAAGAGAACTTGAACTACGAGGGCCCCATTCCTGACCTGAAGTATTATGAGACTGAGTGCATGAACACCAAGAAAAAAGGTGTAGAAAAATTACATGGCGAGGAAGTTTTGAAAGGAGAGAGCTGGAAATTGAAAAAAGAACTGTTGGAGTACTGTCAGAGTGACGTAAAGTTGTTAAGAGAAGGCTGTCTAACATTTGCCAATGATTTTGAGAAGGAGTGTGGTTTTAATCCGTTGAAAGAAAATATTACGATAGCCAGTGCTTGCCATAACTTTTGGCGGAATAACCAAATGATTCCTTATTCCATTGCCATTGAACCACCCCATGGATGGAGTGTTGTGAAACCTGCTCAAAGCAAGATTGGGTTTCAGTGGCTGCATGTCCAAGATCAGAAGCTCGGTGGGAACAGAATCAAGCATGCCGGGAACGGTGGCGAACAAACCCTTATGATAGAATCGTGGGGAAAAGTACGTGTAGATGGCTACGATCCGATTAAGAAGTCAGTGTACGAATTCCATGGGTGTGAGTTCCATGGATGCAAAAGATGCAAACCAAACAACCGACATGTCAAAACTTGGCACCACCCTGACCGCACCGTGGATGAAATGTTTGAATTGACGAAAAAGAAGACAGACGTGTTACGGAAAGCAGGTTACACCGTGAAAGAAGAGTGGGAATGCAATTTTAAACGGAAGCTTGCAGTTGATCCAGAGTTACAAGACATGGTGAAAAATTTAACGTGGATGGCTCCATTAAACCCAAAAGAGGCATTTTTTGGTGGACGTACGGGATCAAGTTGTTGCTACATTAAAGCTGAAAACGGTGAAATTATCGACTATGTGGATTACACGTCCTTGTACCCCTGGGTCAACAAATATGGAACGTACCCACCAGGACACCCGCTCATCATGAAAAATCCAGTGGATCAAGACATTCAAAGTTACTTTGGTGTAGAAAAAGTGGATGTCTTGGCGCCAGAGAAACTGTTTCATCCGGCGTTACCCATGAAAATCGGTGAAAAGTGTATGTTTACTCTGTGTGCTACCTGTGCCCAAGAACAGCTAGAGCACCCTTGGCATGAAAGAAACAATTTATGTCCACACCGTGATGAGGAAAGGAAAAATGACTGGTACTTGGTGTACAGAAGAACTCAAAATGGCCGCACGTAAAGGTTACTCAATTTTACGTATCCATGAAGTCTGGCACTGGCCCGAGAAACAAAGAAAGACGGGGTTGTTTGCACCATACGTTAACAAGTTTCTCAAAGCCAAACAGGAAGCCAGCGGCTGGCCAAGTGATTGCGTGACCGACCAGCAAAAAGCAGAGTATGTGACAGAGTATGAAAAACATGAGGGGATTTTACTGGATAAAGAGAAGATTGCCGTTAATCCTGGACGCAAGCAGGTGGCGAAAGTCATGTTGAACTCTTTTTGGGGAAAATTTGGAGAGGCCGACAATAAACCCACTACAAGTACTATTCAGAAAGTAGAAGACTGGCAAAAGTTAATAAACAATGACTCAATCATTGTCAAAAGTGTCAATGTGTACAGTGAAGACGTGATGGAAGTCACGACAGTGAAAAAAGAAGGAGCATGTGCACCTAATGTGAAAGGCAATATCTTTATTGCTTTGTTCATGACAGCCATAGCACGCCTTAAATTGTATGAAGCTTTGGATGTATTGAAAGAAAGAGTCCTGTATTACGATACAGACTCGGTTATTTACAAGAGCAAACCTGGTGAAGACAGATTACCGCTGGGTAAACTTTTGGGACAATTTACCGATGAGATTGACGGCAATCACATAGATGAATTCGGGTCGGCAGGACCTAAATCCTACAGCTATAGGACAAATGAGGGCAAGACAGAATGCAAAAGCAAAGGATTAAAAAATACTCACGCTGTCAGAGAAGTATTAAATTGTAATTCCATGTTGAATCACACCCAGTTGGAGCTCAAAAATCCTGAAGAATGTGAACGTCAGTTAAAAACCACTATTTTAAATCATTTTGTGCGTAACAGCAAGATTAAAAGCATTTATTTGGAGGACATGGTCAAAATATTCCAAGTCAATTGGTACAAACGGGTTGTTGACAGGACCACAAGTAAGGTCTGCATAGTGGCGCCAACCAATAAAGTGTGTTGTTGTTACAAATTTGTGTGTGTTTATTTGTGTGAAAATTTCCCATACCTTAAACAACAAAAGTTAAAATCAGTCGATTACAGTGCTTAGGCTTAAATCAGTGGGGCGTAATGCAGAGGGTTAAGTTTCCAAACCCTTTGCCAAAAAGACTAACCCTAACCCTAACCCTAACCCTAAACCCTACTCCCAAGGGGCTAGGGCTTATTAGCATTTTAACCCTAACCCTAACCCTAACCCTAATCCCAAGGGGCTAGCGCTAATTAACATTTTAACCCTAACTAGGAGAAGGACTGGTACGAGTGTAAATAGATTGTGATGACTCAGCGCTTTTTCAGACATAAAACAAGTGCGAATGTGAGTGCGTGTATGTGTGGAGGAAAAATGCAGTCGGTGTCAATGCAAGATTTGGAGCAGTTATCATATTGGCAAGAAAAACGTTTCAAAAGTGGACATCGGTATAATCTTTACAACCCAGTGATTTCAGTGGAGTTAACAGAATTAGCAGACAGAGTGGTGAGAAATAACGACGCTGTGCAAGAAATTCAGTTGGATCTCACAGTGCACCAACACAGAGTACCAGAAAACAATGAAAACCTGTTGATGTCATTGAGTGATGGTTTATTACGGGCTGTTCAACATTGGGTGACAAGTCGAAGATTATCAATGAAAACGCGATGTTATCTGACGCTACATGCAGTGGAACCGATTGCTCTCCCGTTCACAAGATGTTTAGGTGTGCTGACAAATATTCCAGTGTTTGCGTTTTTTCCGTGGACAGTGTCCTTATCACGCACAATGTTAGCGATGTTCGATGCTTTAAGTTTTAACTGGTTATTGGCCAAACTTCTGTCACCGATCAACGAAATGAAGTTGGTAATCACAGTCATTCACGAAGAACATGCTTAAACATGTTGGTTCCGCAAAAGACTATCATGCCCTGACTTGCCCGATGATGTCATCACCCTAGGAAGTTATTGTAGAGTATAATAGTGAGTCAAATTAGTCAGGATCGTTAAAACCTAAACAAGACTACGGCTGAAGAGGTAAAAAAAAAAAGACTACAACTATGAAGCAATGTAAAAGATGTAGCGTTTGGACACGAGACAATCGAAAATTTCATCAGCGCGTAAAAGACTGTTTATTGTTGAAGACACCAATTGCTATCTCAGACGAGCAGAGACTTACATCAACGAAAGAGGGTAAACGAGAGAATTCTTCATCAAAACGGAGTTTAAAGACTAAAGTGAGAAGACAGATCAACAAAGAAGAACGAAATAAACGCATTGGTGTATGAGATGAAAAGATGAATCTTACAAAGCGTTTCTTCTAAACATGTTGAAGACACACGGAGAAACTTTTATGTTTTTTTGGCCTCAGGATGTTAAGAAACCAAAATAACCAACTACAGGGTTTCGTTTCTCTCCATATAATGTAAATAAAAGCATGGTGTTTTTATACTCAAACAAGCTGGAAGAAACACTACAAAACGTGACGGATGAAGACCTAAACGAAGAAACGATGCGTCGATTTCTAAATAGCATTTTGGTTGTAGGAAATAGAATTGTACGATGGAGTAATTCTTATTACAGGTCACAAAGGTATGTAACTAACTAGTTTTAGGAGTTCAATAAAAATCACACAATGGTTACAGTTAAACATGTGTTTTTATTTTTACTCTCTGTTTTCAAGTTTACTATACAATTGGGTATATTTGGCCTGTAAGTGTGCCAGTTCCTGCATAAGTTGGGCTACAGTCGATTTCCTGGGTTTTCTGGGTGTCTTGAGTAACTAGGGGCGTTCACCTTCCCGTTCCCTTTTCATAGTTTGATACGTGTCTTGATCTTCAACAAGTTTTTTCTCTTCATCCAGAATCATTTGATCTAAAATGACACAGTGTACTTGTTCACAGGCCGCATTGACTACAGCTTCAGTTTCGGGTAATTTCATTTTTGGGAAGGGACGTAGTGATTTGAACCGTTTAGGAAATGTACCCTGTTTGAGATGGTTTCTGAACCCTTTGATGGCTTTTTCACGGTATTTGATGCGGGCTTGGGTGGCTTGCAATTTTTGACGATAACCCCTCAATGTAGGTTTCTTACTTTTTACTGTAGTTTCCATAGGATTATTTTCTTCGATAGGTTCAGAGACAGCGGGAGTTTCTTCAAGTGTAGACATGTTACCTTAACAGGATCCGAGATGAAAATGATACCTTAATGTGAAAACTGTTTCAATTTATAGCTTGAGGTGAGATCTGAAAAATAAGAGGAAGGTAAGTGTTAAAATATATAAATCATTTAACACAAGTTACCATGTGGGTAGGAGGGTATGAAGACTGGACTCCCGCAGAACAGCGTGAATGGGATAGAGATCTTGAAGAAATGTGGGTTAAACATGAGCAAACAGAGAGGGTCATGTATCCTGAGAATAAGGAGAATCTACACTGGATGGAGATAGCGCTGGATGATCTATTGTTTAAAGCGACATATACCAGGATATTCGGATCTAATTTGCATGTCTTTGACATAACCCAAAACCCTCCGTCAAAACCAGGGGCGAGAAATATGGACTTTGAAATCGTGTATCCCTTGTACCATGGATTGAATGACATTATTGAATTATCAAAAACACCCAAGACATCTCAGATTAAAATCAAAGCCTCCTCCAGAAGAACATTGGGATGTCGTCTATACGTGTGAATTCCGAGTAGATCAGTGGTCTTATAACAAAATGGATGAAATAATGGATGGGTTAGCAGATCAGCTCACCATGAAACAAGACTTAAACGGAGGTTTGCTCATGCAACTGTCTTTCAATGAGGAGGAGTAGGTTCCAGTCAAAGTCTGCAAATTAAGATTGTAACATGCAGTCAAAGTCAACAAATGAAAATCTTATGTGTGGAAAAAGTCTGCAACTTAAAATCTTATGTGTGGAAAAAGTCTGCAACTTAAAATCTTATATGTTGAAAAAGTCTGCAAAATAAAAATCTTATGTGTGGAAAAAGTGCACAAATTAATTTTTAAAATGTGAAAAAGTGCACAAATATAAATCTTATGTGGGGGAAAAGTGCACAACTTAATTTTTAAAGTGTTAAAAAGTGCACAAATAAAAATCTTAAGTGTGAAAAAGTCTGCAACTAAAATTTTTAAGTGTGGTAAAAGTGTGCAACTAACAATAATATGATTTTATTCGGGGATGGTTTCACCGGTCTACATCGGCCTACATCGTCCTATACCGTCCTCGTCGGCCTACATCGGCCTATACCGGCCTACATCGGCCTACATCGGCCTACATGGGCCCGAATACTATAAATAGAAATCAAACACTTGTGCAACACTTTCATTTGTGTCAGGACTTCATTGCGTTAACATGCCCTACAAGTTTAGACGAGTGTGTCCTATTTGTTTTAGAAATGATTTGCTTTACTTAGCCGATCATTTACGTCAAGTGCATAAGTTATCGAGTGAGGGACGACAACCGCTATTAAAGGCAGGGATATTTTCTCATCAAGTGACTCCATCGGTATTGCCAGGAGTTCAACCTCAAGGATTGTATTCCCCTTACATTTTACAACATGGAATGTCACAGTACCCATTGAGTATGAGTTCGCAATTACAACAACCTATTGGTCAACCTCAAAGTATGAAACCAAAACAACCCAAAGTTATGAAGCTACAAACAGTTAACTGTTTAGAGACTCAACCTTACCCCAAGTTTAAGTTTAATCACATGTTCTCCATGGTGATAGTCGGACCTACTCAATGTGGGAAAACCTATTTTGTGCAACAAGTATTAACCAAGAATTGCATCCAATACCCAAGCGAGAAATCTACACAGATTTACTGGTTCTATAACCAATGGCAGCAAAGGTATGATGCATTGAGACGTGTGCTAAGAAAGAGGATACAGTTTACCCAAGGGTTACCAGACCTAAGCGAAGATCTCAAGGAAATCAACCCCGAGTATAACAATATACTTGTGTTTGATGATTTGATGTCTCAAGCCATAGATAGCCCTGTGTTATCACAAT